AAAAAAAAAAAAAAAAAAAAAAAAAAAAAAACTAATGCAATTTCAACCGTCTTCATATTCAAAATAATCACAATCCTGTTGTTAAGAAGATATTCATAATATATAAATAATATATATGCCACACTTTAAAGGTATTATTTAGTTTTAAACATTTATTACTTATATTTAACGTCCATCTTATTTGTGAACTTTCACTTTATAGGTCAATTAACCAATTAACCATGCAATTTACATAATTTATATGATCTTCTACACTACTTAAATATAGATGGGTTGGGCTTAGCCGCTGAGGGAGGGCGTAAAATTATTAATATATGTACTTATATTTATCATGTATGATACATCAATAATATTTGCTTACTACTGTGACACATGTTAATATGTCCACCGTTTATGTGACATGCACACAACACATTAGTGATGTACTTTTTTGAACATATTAACATCACCAATGTATGCATGTCACATAAGCGATGAAGATATTAACATGTGCCCACCGTTAGTATGGGAATATTACTCTATGATACATTAAATTAAGTATAGATCAAATATAAAATAAATCAAAATAGAATATATTCTTTTTTTTTTCAACGATAAAATAGATATATTTATAATTGCAACACTATATTTATTATTTAACAAGCTCTTTGAAAAAAAAAAGATAATATTCGATGTATATTATAACCTTACTTTATTATATTTTTTATAAGGAAATTAATAATATATAAAATAAAAAATATATAAATATATATTATATAATCCAAATTGCCTAGTAGTTCACATTTTATTTTTCCTTTTTGTTTTTATTAAGTATTTACTTTGTTTGTTCAAAAGAATTTCCCCGAAATCCAAAGTCCAATGACATTTTCCACACGCTTAAGACCCTTAATCCAAAGTCCAATGACATTTTCCACACAAAATTTCTCACTTATATAAATTGCAACAATGTCTTGATGATGAACAAATTCAATTTAGGTACACACAAACACATAAATCCCATAAAAGAGAAAAAAAAAAAGTGAAAAAAAAAGCAAAATTGCTATTTATCAAATGGAGGATTCACTAGCAAACATTATTTCATTTTTTCTTATTTTTCAATTCAAGTCTCTAAAGTGGGAAATTGAGAATTTCGTCCCAAAATTACATTTTCTCCTCCAAGCATTTTCCAGCAAATGGAATAATAGCTTCTGGGGAAAAATGCAAATTTCAAAAACTTCAGGGCCATCCCAGGCGCCAACGGAGAATAAGGAAATTTCGAGGGGTGAAAAGGTGAATCTGGACATAATCGATGCCAGTTTGGTAGTTAACAGACTGGGAATCGGGGGTGGATTGGAGGATAATGGGGAATTCGGGGGCTTTTGTGAAAAAGATATGTTGGCATTGTTCGACGAGGTGGAGCCGAGTTTGGAGGAAATTAAGGAAACTTTTGGGGTGTTTGATGCAAATGGAGATGGTTTTATAAATGGGAGCGAGTTGCAAATAGTTTTTCGTAACTTGGGGCTGAAGTGCAATTTGGAAGAGTGTTGTAGGATGATTGAAAAATTCGATTGCAATTGAGATGGACTGATTGATTTTCGGGAGTTCATGAAATTGATGGAAAAATGTTTTTGTTGAGGACTTAGATGTGATTATTTTCTTGGGCACGATTGTTATTGCATCAGATTAGTGTGCACATTAATTATAGATGCTTTATTAAATATTATGGATTTAGAAATACTTAATTAGGTATTTGTGTTTTTCCTTTTATTTTTTCCCTTTTTATTTTTATTTTTTAGTTTTATGGATATATTCATCAATTCAAGCAGCTAACCGAGATCGTTTGTCAAACGAGCTGATCCGAGCTTGTTTACGAACAACTCACTTTTATTTTGAATATATTTTAAATAAAAGATTCGAACCAAACTTGTTTAAAAAGGTGTCATATATGATTTTGAGCAAAAAGAAAACAAAATTAAGAGATTATTGGTAACCAGTCAAAATCAATTAAAATCGATCAAAATTGATTCTTAGTTAAATTGATTTACTTTGAATAAAGTTTATCGAGTGAGAAGAGAGATGTTATAATCAAATTATATTTAAAATATAATAATTAAAGTTTATGTGATGTAAAATTATGAGAGGTATGATGGAAGTGATAGGCTGTTAAAAATATATAAGTGAATAAAGAAAAGAATTAAAGTTAACAAGATTTAAGAAATAGATGATTTATATTATTTAACTACATTGATATATAATATTGAAAATAACAAGGTTAAGTTAAATTTTACTTTAAAGTGAATAAAAAAAATATTGATTTAATTTTGATCAGTTTTAACTCCTTACTGTCACTCCCTTACCAAAGCACATGGTAATATCCCATTCAGTATAAATATTTATTAAAAACCATAATGAGTTAGAATCATCTTTCACGGTGTTTAGCTTTAAAAAAAAAAAAGCAAAAATATTAATATCTTCTAAAGTACTTTTATAGTAGTGATACGATATAACTTACACTGATATGGTGTCTATCACTACAAGAAAAAAAGTGTTTAGTGACGCTTATTTTTTTGTTTAATGACGTTTATTAGTGTCACAAAAAATTTATTTACGCTATTAAAAGTGTCACGGGTTGCGTTGCTAAATTTGATGTCACGAAATTATCTGCGACGCAAGACTTTAGCGTAGGTATTTTTTCATACGTGACGCTTTTTTAAATGCGTCACTTTTGTAGAATTTGTGACGCACGCCATTTGCGTCTGTAATAACATGCTTGACGCTTTTTAAGTGCGTAATCATTTTCAATTTTGGCGACACACTGCATGTGCGTTGTAAAATTTAATATGTGACACATTATTATATGCGTCGTGATAATGAATTTTGATGACACAAATTTATGTCGCTAAATTTCAATGCACAAAACTTTTTTTTATTACGTCGTGATTATGCATTTAGCAACACTATTTTGTAGCAATTTCATTAGGGATAATAATGGAGCAGGTCGATCCAAGTAGTTACGAAGCCGAACAATACATTTGTAGAATATAAGTAGAACAAAAATTAAAATAGTCTCATCTGATAATATTCTAGCGATCCAACAAACACACCAATAGTCGTACAATTTAAAATACAAATCTTCAAACATGCCAAATCATGAAAACTAAATAATATCCTAGCAATCAAAAAATACACACACACACACACACACACACACACACACACACACACCAATAGGCTTCTTATTTCATGCTCTACGGAGATTGCTTTGAAGGTAACATGACTAGGGCTGCAAACGAGCCGAGCCGAGTCGATCATGGACCTTGTCGAGCATAGATTGAACTGTTTTTTTCGCTGCTCGAGCTCGAGCTCGACGAGCCATGAAAAATGGCGCTCGAGCTCGACTCATGAAACAAATGAAATGCTCGAGCTCGACTCGATGCTCGAGATCGACTCGAGTTTGGCTCAAAATTTAACAACTAAAATATGTCAAACCTGATTATTATTACAACATCCAAAATCTAAGTCATGCATACATACAAAATACATTCATACTATTACAACATCCAAAATCTAAGTCATGCATACATACAAAATACATTCATACTGTCCCAGTCCAATCCATACAAAATGGGTGAAATTCAAATCAAAGTTTGCTACACATACAAAATGCATGAATATCACATACTTTGTCCCAAATAAAAAAAAAATAGTCAGCTTCCAAATTCCCCAAACTAATTTACCATCATAAATAGCATAAATGTCCAGACTTGTCCCAAAAGAAAAAAATATAGCCAACTGCAATATTTCCCAAGCCGCATACTGCCAAAATATAGTTAAGGCTGCCATAAAATCAAATTAAAAAAGTTAGACATAAATTAAAAAGGGAAAGAAAAGGAGTCGACCAATACACAACAACTACTACCTGAAATGATAATTCAACTTATAGGTAACAAGATCTCCTGAGCCGACTTCACTTTCTGTCCAAAAAATTAAAAAAAAAAATAATAATGAGAAGCAAATAGTCAATGATTACATACTTTTCAAATCAATATTTTCATCATACTTACTTTATCTTTTTTCTTGATGCCGTGTCGCTTACGACACCAATCACCAACACACATTAACACTTCAACAGTTTCTGGAGCCAACGAAGCGCGATATGAATCGATTACTCTAGTTCCGGCACTAAATGTTGCCTCTGAAGCTACAGTACTGATTGGAATGGCCAAAATATCAGTTGCCATTTTTGGCAAAATCTTGTACTTCGTTGTGTCCCTCCACCACCTTAGAGCATCTAAGTTTACAATGTCTAAATTTGAGTCCTCAGTGGCTCTAAGAACACCATCTTCAAAATAGGTATCTAATTCATTTTTTTTGTGGTTCAGCATTCCCAGATGTCGAAACATGAGTCAAAAACTCGCTCATGCCAGTACAATGTGAGACTGAAGATGAAACATTTGAGCTCTTGTTTTCTGGATCATCCTGGCAATTTTTCGAGCCACTTGAAGTTGAAGATTGCATCTCCACATATTCGTCAAACAACTCATATAAAGCAGAACGGACCTTGCTTATATTTAGCTCCACCTCATCAGGAGGATATATCAAAGGAAAGCAATAATTTATCACCACCATTTTGCACCTCAGATCCAAGATGGCAGCTATGGCCATCAATAAGTTACACTCTCCCCAGTACTTATCGAATTTTGCCTTCATATTTCGAACCATTGATTGAACAAAGTAACCTTCATCATTTACTTTGCTATCTAGTAGTTTTTTTATCCTACAAACCTCATTTAGATATAAATTAGATGTAGGATAATCACTACCAGATATCACATGAGTGGCTGTCCAAAACACTTGCAAAATACTGCACACTTTTTCTGTCTTTTCCCAGTCTTCAGTTGTTGGGCATTTGGCATAATTTGGTTCACGGTATTGAAATCTTGAGAAGACTTCTCGAAACTTGAGCGCACAAGCAAGCATCTCGTAGGTAGAATTCCACCTCGTTTTACAGTCGTACACCAACATCTTCCCAGGCAATTGCAATTGATGTACGATTTCAGCAAATAACAAGCGTCTTCCATCTGTCTTGTTAATAAAATCGACACTTTCCCTTATATTGCCAACTATGTCTTTGATTTCCTGAAGACCGTCTTGAACCATCAAATTTAGTATATGAGCACAACATTTTACGTGAAATAATTTTCCCTTTGCTAACAGACATTTGTTCCTTGAGAAGGTATCCTTTAAAGCTCTCAGTGCGGTGTCATTATTTGAGGCATTATCCACTGAGATTGTGTACACTTTGCTCTCGATGCCCCAGTCCTTCAAACACTTGTATATCGAATCGGCAATTTGGACACCTCGTCGTGGAGGAGGGATATGCACAAAGTTGAGAACTCGCTTTTGCAATCTCCAGTTTCTATCAATCCAGTGCCCAGTTATTACCATGTATTCAATCTTCTGATTTTTGGACTTCCAAAAATCCGTGGTCAGGCTAATTTTGTTGACCTTCTTCAACATGTTCTTCAACTTAGTCCTTTCTCTTTCGATTACCTTGCAATCATTCTTGCTGCTGGTTCGACTAATTTTGTTCCATTCTGGCATTCCCCTTTTTAGCATTAAATTGAAGCCATCCTCTTCCATAATTGAAAATGGATGCTCATGCATAAGCACCCATTCCGCCGCTGCTTCTCTCATACCAGCCATGTCAAATTTCCCTGTATGAAGATATGGACGTGCGCTAGAGTCACCTGCTGCTGGAAAATTTATCTTTTGTTGCTTTGGTTTCTTCAGCTTCACTAATCTCTTGTGACATACATTCATATGCCTCAACAAACTTGTAGTTGTACTAGTTTTGGTTTTCAAGAATATTTTCTGGCAATGAATGCATTCTGACATGAGAGTTTTTTCCATTCCGACAACCACATCTTTAAAATCGTCCCATGCTTTAGACTTTCTAGCCCTCTTTTTTTGTCGAAATGGGTCTAAAGACTCTAAACCATCATCTGGGGTA